TGGCCATAGTTTAAAAATAATATTAGCCTGTGTATGTTTATTTGGGTCCGAGAAGCTGTGGGACCTGCAGGTGAGAGAGATTTGTCCTGACTGAGGGCCAGGCAGGACACAGGAAACCTTTCAGCTACACCTTTCTCTTGCTTAAGCTAATTCAGTCTATAAGGGGATATTTCTTTGGGTCTGGTAGGGATGTGTAGGTGTTTTCTAAGGCCCTAGTACAGTGGTTCTCAACCTTCTTAATGCTAGGACCCTATAATACAGTTCCTCATGTGGTGGTGACCCCCTAACCATAAAATTATTTCATTGATACTTCATAACTGTGATTTTGCTGCTGTTATGAGTTGTAATGTAAATATCTGCTGTGCAGGATATCTAATATGTGACCCCCACAAAAATGTCTTTCAACCCTCAAAGGGGTCACGACCCACAGGTTGAGAACCACTGCCCTAATAGCTGTACTATTACTAATTCTCTCAGATTCATTTGTGATGAGAAATACTACCCCCTATCATGCCATAGACTCTCTCCATGCAGGCAGACAGACTCTCACAGGGGAGTTTGGAAGTTTTCAAAATATCTAACAGTTCTGCAGCGGCAGGGTCCCAGTCTCAATCCCAGTTTCTTAAGTGAGAGGGACGGCTCCTGCATATGAATATCATGACCCTTTGCTTGGGATCCTAGGCAGGAGAGTCTCTAACCCCAGCCACTTCAATGGCAGGTTGTTCCTCACTCTTCCAGGGATTCAAAGTCTTTGCGTGCCACTGATTGTGAAGCGGTTGGTTTTGTCTGTTCTCCCTTCTAGTTCTTTCCTGCAGTCAGGGAAATGATGGGCTAAGCTTCCCCAGGCAGGCTAGAAAGTGTGAGAGAGGGAGACAGATGCATGTCCTTTGTAGATTGTAATGCTCAAATTTCTTTGCTCTCTCTCTTCAGTAGCCACTGGGCATTGATGTGCACCTGACCAGCCCACAGTCATGGCCACCCTGTGCAGTGCCAGAATGCTACCCTTACTTTCCATGTTAGCTGAACAGTACTCAGCAAGATGGCTGCTTCTAACCCCATGGCAATGATAGGGTATCCCATAGCCACGAGGCAGGCAGAAGACACTTAGCATATAGCATGCTCCTCCAAACACAGCTAAGTTGGCAAGCCTGAAATTTCCCAGGATGTTTTCTTTCCCTGCACTTATTTGCTTGGTCTCCTGGATGGCCTCCCACATGCCCTGTAACAACCTGGTTGCAGTATGTAAAAACCAGCCCCCAAATGAGGCTGAAGAAAAGAGGCAGACAGATATACAATTTATAGGCATCTGATAAAAGACTGGCCCTGGGCAGCAGCAAGACCAAGTAGATCTGTGCGATTTGAACAGAAAAATGAGAGCTTAAAAGTGGTCAGGGCAAGAGTGACCTCATCCCATCCTGAATGTGCCTGGTTTATTTCAAGAAAGACTCAGGCAATTTGTCGGCACCAAGGGCTGGTTGTAAAGCTCCGTATGCCGATCTAATGGTTCTGTGTATTCGTAATATGCTGAGAAACTGTTCAGGGAAACTGAGCAGAGTTACTAAGGAGCAATCCTGATGACTATGCTCCAGAATAGATGCAGTCATATGCCCCAAGTCCATTTCTTATACATACGCCAGCAATGAGCAAGCAGAGCTACAAATGGAAAACCCGGCACCATTAATGTCAACATCTTCCAACGATAACATCTTAGTTACTAATATTAAAGTACATGAATAAGAAGCATATGAGGACAACTCTGGAGTCAAAAGGGCAAATTATCCCTTGTTCATGAACAGGCAGATTCAACATTGTAAAATGTTGACACAGTACAAATATGGTTAAGACAACAGCAGTTCTCTCTTGGGCCTTTATAAATCGTCCTTCACTCGCTAGCACGGGGTCATCCTAAACTGAGAGCACCACCTCTCTCCTTCCCACGTTCCCTTGTGGTCTCTGTCCCTCCCCACATCCACTGACCCCATGCTGGGTTCTACTTCTCAGTATATGAGTGAATTTCTCAATTTTTGGATAGATCACAGTTATAAGCAAAGCCACAATGGATTTGGAATCGTCAAAACGAGGTCATCAAATGTCCGTTTAGACCAACACCTGACACAGCGACCTCGTTTTATGCAAACCATTCCTCTCCCTTCCTTAAGCTGCCGATTCCTCCTCTTTCCCCACAGCCTCACTTTACCTGCAGGCATTCAGCACTTGTAGCTCCCCATCCACAACAGTGCCTCAGAAGACGGGCTCGGAGAAGGGAAATGCCCACCACCAAAGCACAGCCGTCCACGTTGAGCGCCCCACCTCAGCTACTGCTCTGGTGTTAGGGGTTCAAACTCTCAGGCCCATGCTATTTTTGGAGCACTGAGAGATCAATTATAGGTCACTAAATTAAATTTGAATATCAAACAAAAAACCCAAGCAATTCTTCTAGTATGGTTATTTCTTCATACAGCATTTGGACATGCTTAGGCTAAAAATTACTCATTGCTTATCTGAAATTTATATTTATCTAAGTTTCTATGTTTTATCATAGTTGTGAAAAAAATCTGAGAACAATTTAAAGGGGTATTATTTATCCTGGCTCACAGTTTTTTTTTTTTTTTTCATTTCACTCTCATTTATTCTTTTTTTTTTTTAATTTTAAACTTTTAAATTTATTCTTTGCGTCTTTCACATCATGCATCTTGATCCCATTTATTTTTCTGCCCCTTTGTATTCACCCTCTGCTCTTGCAACCTCTCCCCCAAAATAAAATAAAATTTAAGAGAAAAATCTCGTCATGGAAGCTGTAGTGGGACACAGTGAGTCACACAGTATACCCTTTTGTCCATACATGTTTACTTGCAAGTGTTCATTGCAAAAAGTCAATGGTCAGATTCGAGGCCTCTGGTTTCTGCTACACTATCAATACTGGGTCCTCACTGGGACTCCTCTTGGGTATCCTGTTGCTGTCCTATGTCATGGAGATGCTGCAACTTTGGGTCTGCAGGATATGACCCTTCCCATGCTCCAGCAGATCACAGATGGGGTGGATGTTGGGGTGGGCCAACTCATAACTCTGGTTCTGGGCCTGGGTAGTTGCAGGGTTAGTCAGCCCACCAGCTCTTCCTGTCCTCTCCACCAGCTCACCCTTTACAACAATAAACAAGGGGTGGGACCCATTCTCCTGCTTTCATGCCCTCAGGGTCGGCTTGCCCACACCTATACTACACCATCAGGGCCAGCTCTAATGTATTGCCCAAGTGAGGTACAGGGGCCACTCTTTGGAGTCCTGTGGCTGGTGAGGACAAGGACAGCTCTCCTGCTCTTATGACCTCAGGGCCAGCTCTCCCATCTGCCACAGGTGCCAAGGGGGGCATCTCTCCTCACCCATGCCACCATATGGCAGATGAGGGGCAGGGCCAGATCTCCCACATTCTTGGCTCGCTCAAGCTCAGTCAACAGAGTCAGTTCTACTGTGCTGCCCAGACAAGGTGCAGGGCCCGCTTCCCCAAGGACTGTCTCTGGTAAAGGGGAGGGTCAGCTCCCTAGCCAGTGCAGGTGCAAGCGTAGACGGGGGAGGGCATCTTTCCCTCACCTTTATCATCCCACTGCAAGGGGGGTGCAATACCAACTATCCTATGCTCTCAGGGCTGTCTCACCCATGCCCCTGTCTACGGGGTCAGCTCTGCTGTGCTGCCCAGGCGAAGTATAGTACCTAGTCTCCTAGGTGCTTCAGCCAGGGAGGACACGTTCTCCACAGGGTTGCAGCCAGTGAGGGGTGGGACCAACTCTGTCGTTTTCCCCTCAGTTTTCAGTGATATCAGGAGCCAAGGACATTAACACAGACCATGGCTGCAACAGGGCCATGAACCCAGACATGGCTCTGGATGGCAATCCAGCCATCTGCTTAAGCCTGCTCCTCACTGCTCCTCACTGCTCCTCCTCCTCCTCCTTCACCTCTTCAGATATGCCTCTGTCCATAGGGCATGAACCATTCTGTCTCTCTCTCTCCCGTACCAGACCATACATTTGCTCACCATAGTAGTGCTGACTGCCTGGTGCCTTGTGGTGTGTTTTTCTCCTCAGAGCCCAGGGTGGACCATCCCAGGCATGTGGGTCTCCTTATCCTGTTCCCTGGCCCATAGTTTTAATGAGTTCAGTTCACAGTTGCTTGGCCCAGCTTGGGCAGGACTTCATGGTGGTGGGAGTGTGTGGTAGGGAAGCATTCCCAACTCAAGTCAGAGGGAAGCAGAGAGAGCAAGTACAAGAAGGGGCCAGAGGGAGCTAGATTTCCAAATGCCCTACTTCCCCCAGCCAGGCCCACCTTCTACCCTCTACCACTTCCCAATCATGGCACCAAGTAACGGGTTCATCAGTGGACTGACCCCTCATTAGGTCAGAGCCCTCAGGATCTGCTGGTGGCTGGGAAAGCCATCACACCGATACAGAATTAGAGGCCTTTCTAGTCTCTAAGGTTGCTCTCAGTCCAATCAAGTAGACACGATTAAACACCACACTAGGTGTCCTGCCTTTTAAAAAAAATGAGAAGGGGTATAGGGATTAAACACAGGGCCTTGTATTAAATACAGGGCCTGTATGTACTAAGTAAGTGCTCTACCATTGAGTTACATACTTTGACCAGTTGTGTTGTTTTTTTTTTTTCAAATGACTTGTAATGGTATGTATTTGTGGGGCACAGTGTGATATTTCCACTCACATAGACAATATGCACTGTCTGATCAGGTCATTGTCATGCCCATGACCTGATATTTACTATTCCTTTGTTGGGAACATTCAAAATCTCTTCTCCTATTTAGAGGTATGTTGTTATCAGCCATAGTTACCATACCACCTTACAGAATTGTGGGCCTTTTTTTCCTTTCTGTTAAACTGCACCCTTTCTGCTAACCACCTCGAGTCACCCTGACTTCCCAGCTTCTGGTAAGTGATATCTTATCCCTTATTTCCGTGAGCTCAGCTCCTTTCGTTTTAACCTAGGAATGAGAATGTAAGATAGTAAATACGGTGTATTCTTTATTCTGGCTAATGACCAACAACCCTGATTACTGTGTCAGGGTGAGGGCTGGCACCCCACGGTGCTGTACACACAAGCCACTCCCCCTGGTTGAGGAAACGAGAGACACACGTCATCACACCCCTCCTGTCGCCCCGCGATGCGCACACCTGCAAAGTCTTCCCTGGAGGTGGAGGTGTATCCTGTGGTCTCTCTTGCCTTTCTTCTCCCTGTCTCTTTTGGTCACTCCTCAATCTGAATGGGCTGTATGAACTTCCTAAAAAAAAAAAAATCAAAGTTCCCAAAGCACTAAGAATGATTGGACTATAAAAGTACCCACCGAGGAGACAGTTCTTGCTGTTTCCTCTTTGCTGTGGTCATCATGACTGGAATTGATCATTGATAGGAAACTCCATGGTCAGAAAAAAGCAGAAACATGACTTCCTGGTTTATTTTTCTCTACTACATTCCCAGCAGTAAGCTCATTTCATTGACTTGTGTATTCAGTACCTATTTATGGGGAAACTATTAATGTGTCACTCTGTCAGGTACTGGAGGTACAAAGAAAAATAGGACATGGCATTTGCCCTACAAATCATACAGCCCACGCCTACAGGCAAAGCTATAGGAGTTTGTCCCTCTGTTAATGGTCAATGAGAGAACAGCCCAAAGATCTTTCTCTCAAATGAATGAAGCCATCTTTCCTTTCCTTAAGTGAGACTCATCTACTGCCAACATGTAGGAGTTCAGCTGTGTTTTAATCTACCTGGAGGGCGTTTATCACGTGACCCCAAAGTTGGCATTTTACTAGATCCCCATTAGTCACCTTGTGGGTGTCCTCACACCCTCTTCAGTCTCATGTTCAGACATCTTGCTCTTTTTTGATTAAGTTCTTTCCTGGGACCTCAATTCCAGTAACCAGGCTCTTCTTCATTCCTTGTCTGTTATGAGCTATTGCAGGCCATGATGCAAACACAGCTTATAGCAATTGATAATTCAGATGTCAATCCACCAGATGAATATGTCTCTGATGGAGGAGAATCCTATCCAGGCAAGGCTTGTGGGACCACTGACTCTGGACACTGTTGCTCCCGTCTGCAATTTCACATGTGCAAAAGCAGCTATGGTATCTCCCCAATACCTGCACTGTAGTGTGTAATTTCATGTGATATGTACATGTAATCTCATGGTTGCATCTCAATCTTATGGGCACATATACCCGTGGATGGTCAGGAAGCTGACTTCTCATTAAGCTGTATAATTTTGATCTATAGAAAATATACTAGAATATGCTTCATAACTAGATCTGTTGTCCTACGAGGACTGTAAGACCCTTAGAAGCCTGCTTTGTTCTTTTAACTCACACTAACATAGGAAAACAACAATTTCTCTCCAGTCTAAGACAAGCTGCATACCTTTTGCTGATTTGATACCTCAGAGCAGTTTCAAACTAGACTCAATGTTTCTGTAAACGGATCATAAGTTAAAAACTTTTACAGATATGCACAAGGTCAGAGTCACAGATGTCTAGCCGAGGTTATTAACACAAAGCAACCTAATGCCAACTCTTCACTTGCCAATCCTGGCTGATAGCACAGACCACGATCACTTCCAGTGTGAAACCCTTCAGTGGCTTGTCTCGCCAGGCACTGTGCCCCTGGCTTCAGGTCACAGTTTGTACACAAGGGACCTTGAAGTTGGGCATTGCCATGGTTACTCATTCCCCTCAGATACAGCCTTTGTAGCTTATTTATTTAAAAAAAACTGTTGCTGTTGAAAAAAATATATAAACTGTGGAGAATCCAAGCAGGGGTAGATAGAATTGGAACTAAAGAGAGTTGGAGCTAGAGAGAATTGGAACCAGAGGCTTAGAACTACAGAACTGGAACTAAAGAATCAGAGCTAGAGGATTAGAGAGAATTAGAACAAGAGAATTAGTGAATAACCCTTAGATCATGTGTGAATTAGTATAGATAAGAAACTTTTCTAAGCCCCTCGCTTTTGAGAAGCATTCTCTGAGTAACTCTGGGTGGCAGTTCTGGGAACTGGACTCCACAGGCTGCTGAAATTTCTGGGGATATTAATCTTTATTTGATTTTAACATTAGAGTTCTGTTTCATTGTCATTATTCTTGTTATAAATTGAAGTCTTGTCATTAAGCTTAGCCCTATAAGGCAAGGGAAGCTTCATTTCTTTTTTCTGAGTCTTTCTTGTGCTAAATACTTACTTGCCTTGGATTGGCTGTCTTGGGGGCTTTGAGGCACTCTACCTGAGCCTCGCCTGTCTCTGATCACTTCTGAGGACAAGTGTGCCTATTGTCTTTCCCTATCTGCTTCAACCCCAGCCTCACCAGATGGCTTCAGACCCAGGGGTCATAAACCCTGTTGTTTCATCCTTTGGAAAATTTTAGGGTAAAGGATATCAGTGCAGGGCATATTTTGGGCATTTGAAAGGATTCTCTAGTAAGCTTTGTAATTCCGTATTGTGTAATCCCT